AAAAAAAAAAAAAAAAGAAACGCGGATGCGATTAATATTAGTTAACAAGGTCTGTCAGGTTTTACGTGTGTGGAAAGTATGTGTGTGCTGTGTATGGAACTTTTTAGGCCATCCGAATTCCAAATGGAACTCTAATAAGACTGATTATTAGCTTTAAGGTGGGGACTCTAGTGATCTGTTGTAGGTGGTTCTGGACCGTACAAATTCTGTGATCTTATGAATTAAGAAGGCATAGATAGCAGAAGGATATTGGAAACGTCGTTACAAGTGTTTTGCTGTGTGGGTGCGAAAACTTCGGTTAAGAAAAATAAGTAAATCTAAACAAAAACAAACGATCGCGTAAGCTGGGCCAGCTGATTAACAACACCCACCTTGCAAGGGGGCCACTCCTTTTGGCCCTCTGTCCAAGGATCTTCTCGACGACGACCACACTGCCGTTCCTTGCAGCCTCGAGCAGCTCTTCGTCCTTTCCCATTTCGCCCCCTTTTCACTTCGTTACACACAATCCGTACTTATCATCGTAAAAACACTATTGCACGCACTCACACTCGTACTATTATTCATTGATCCAAGGTAGCCATATTGCGCACACTGCGCCTCTCGCGGCTGCCACCATTGACAACTTCAGACGTTCGTACATCACCGTAAGTAAACCGCTGATAATTAACAACTTTCGTTAACAACAACAAACAGATATTCGAATTATTCACATCACAAGTAAAAGTTCAACCACGTAAAAGTGCGAATTGGATCAGCACGATGGTATCCAACAGGATTTCAGCGCTGGGTTTCCTCTTCCTGGCTTACATAACCTCAAACAATAACTTCACTTGTGCATTGGAAATTGGTAAGAAACTCCTCTATTTACCAATAACTCATTATCATTATTCATAATGCACAGTACATATTGCATTTTCTCTTACTGTCAGCATATCCGGATAGAATTGTGCCTTTTGATGTTTCACAGTGTTCTGTTCGAGTAATTTTTATTAGCTAGCACTTTTACATACGATCAGGTTTTATAAACTATCATTTACATGAGTAAGTATTTGTAATTGTTTATTGGCTGACAACATTACCATTATTGTATCAACTATATATTAGATACCATCGACAAATAAATTTAATTACAAGAACTTTAATAAACTGTGTTTTATTTCTATCCTTTGCATTCTTTTGTGTTTCACCCCTACACAATTATTCTATATTACCTTCTTGCCTATAAAAAGGTTTTGTTCATTTCTATATTACAATAACAACTGTGCAGTTAATACAAAAAAATATGTATGTACAGTGGAACCTCTCTTAACGACTTTAATCCGTTCCAAGATTTCAGGATTTTGAAACATATTCAAAAGTACGTGTACACAAGTTTTAAAAATGATCTAGAAGGGACTTCTCTTCTCATCGTCACTTGATAAGCGAGTCATTTTGCTCGTTAAGCAAGGTTCCACTGTATTTTAATTACGTTTACTAATTTAGTGTACATTTATAACTAACTACTCATTATTAGACAAAGCTTCTTAATTATAATTATAAATTTATATATAATTGGCATGATAAATTTATTATCAGCTTTGCAAGTTTAAATAAACATTCTTTTATCACCTCCACCTTTATTTAATAATCATAATAATAACAACATTTTTTTGCAGAATAACATTAAAATCTTTATAAAAATAAATATTTTGAAAAATGAAATATTTTAAACTTTTTTTTTCAAATAAAAAATTATAATAATATATGTTTATTACTTAATTTAACCCAACAACTTTGATTTTATAAATTTAAATTATTATTAAATAATATTCACCTTTATATGCATTCTTGATCTGCTAATATAAGTATTAATTATGTCATCATTTGTGTTTCTTATTCTTATATAAAGTGAGTCTTGCAGTTCAAAGGATCAGTAAATATGAATTAAATTTGATTTAGTTTTATTTGAAAATAATTTATTGACAGAACAACGATTATGGTTTTAAACGGGCAATTTCCCAATCACAAATACAAATTACATTAATAATTAATGAAACAAGCATTGTCTGTTGGTTAATGACTAACAACGTGCCCGAACGAACATGAAAGAGCAAATAGGAAAACATGTGCGATGTAACCAGCGGTTTACATGTGCCCTCAACACGAGTCTACTACAGATTGTGAGGTGCCATTGTCTTTACATTCAAAGAAAACTGATTTTTTCTTCAATTAATTATGATTCAATTAATTTATGTACATTTACTCGTAACGCATTATATAATTAAATAATTAATTAACTCAATGATATACTAAAATTCCAGCATGTACAGCTGAGTTCCGACGGCAAACTGTACGTTCTTATGAACACCGATAATGTTCGTGCGAACGAAAATCTTATTTTTTTTAATTTTTCCACAAACCTATAATGTATCTTATTGCTCATCACTTGGCAGAGATAATATTTTGAGAATATTAATATAAACAATTAATGTAATTAGATCATTGAGTATATTTTATCGAGAGTCTTTTTCTTAACTAATTTGTTTTTTTGTTTTCACTTATAAAAAGTAAAAATATAATAACGTGCTTTAATTAATATCATCTAACAATGAACGTGAATATTATTCATTTACAAAACAAAGGTACAAGCGATGTAATGAATAATTTTACATTTCAGATCAGGTCAACATCATTGTGACAAGATTATCAAATAAAACTGAGAATATTCGATACTACCCAATCAGATGGAATAACACAGAAATCATAAACATAGAAGTCACCGCGAATGCCTCCTTCTTTGTGGTGCAGGTGCACAGTTTTTCAAGTCCTGTTATTCTATCCAACGATAAGCTGTTACAACGTCAATATAGTGTCAGGGGGAATAGTGTAGGCTTGGTACAGCGAAATATACACAGCGAATCAAGATACAGATTTTACGTACAGAACAACATAACCGATGGTCTAATGATAATTGCTGTAACGACATACGGAAAGAACGGTAAGCAAACGAAATAATATAATATTTATTTCGCAACTTTTCATTTGGTTTTCGTCGAAATAGTAAACATGAAATTGATGAGTAATAAACGTATGTACGCAATTTGCTTAGATCCGATTCCAGGTGGTTGCAACTTGACGTTTGACGTGGAAGACGCTCCCTACCAAGTTTTGAATTACACAGATGATTTAATAACGATAGATGCACAAGCTGCTTCAGAAATTGCGAGATTTTGCGAGAATACGAGAGTATCGCTCGAGATGTACCATATGCGTCTAACGAGATGGGATTTCACTGCGGACAGTTTCTACCGGAGCATAGAAAAAATGATCACGGTCGAAGGGATTAGAAAGAACGGCGTTAAAGTATTCCAAAACTCATAAATTTTTCCTCTCCGGAAAACTTGGTGTAAAATCTGTGTGTAATCGTAGGAATGGGCATCCCCCTACAAGAACAAACTAAGACGCTTCTTCGTCAACTACGCAGGAACAGGTACGGTTTATGCTATAATAGCAACATATGATGGCCATTCTTCGGCGTACGTACCAATTTTGTCGTACGGATGTGACATAAGCAATGGCAATTGCAGCCCCGTTACTGGTTCGTGCTTCGTGCTATTATTACAATGACGTTATGTGATTTAATGAATTAATTTAAGATCATGGTGACAAATACGCATTAGCATTTCTATTTACTTTGTTTGGAATCCAAATGATTCTATTTGGACGAAAATTGACTATACCACAATGCAACAGACACGGCATACTAAAATGGATATGTTTGGCTTTCATAGTAATCCCACTTTTTCTTCTAGAAATTAGTAAGTACTTAATTGTATTAGAAAAAAATTTAAACTGCAATTCAATTTGCATTTTCGTTTTAGGTATCTATTATCTACTGGGCGCTTCATTTTTGATTTTAGCACTATTTACGGTATCAAATGTATTAATCGTCACTTCACAGATCATCAGTAGCATTTATATTGCATATATTGCAACCTGTGCTATATTTTTCTTTACGCCGTGGCTGGGTAAATATTTATACTACTAACTAACTACATTTTAATGTCACCAATTATAATAAATTTGAACTTACTGTTTTTCACAGGCGATATGGTTGTCTTCCAGGAGGACTGGTGCTATTGGTTAGTTTTCGTAACAACAGTATTCGCAATGTACACATTTTCACGGCAATTTAACTGGAACGTGTTACTCGATATGCAACTATCCATTGGCATCAGCTACTTCGTTGGAGGAATATTACTGTACATGTTCCTGTACAACTATAAACGTCTGACTGTCACAAACTTCAATTACGCCATCTCGGATCCACCTATCACATACTTCGGTAATTCACCAAAATTGTATATATATTTAACCATAATCAAATTATTCTCGTTATTAGAATATATCAACTTGTTGGTTGTTCTCGTAATTTCAAGGCTGGTCCTCTTCTTGGTGAAGTTTGCGAACAAAATATCTTCTGCGTTCGTGAGACGGTGAGTGAGAAAAATCATTTGCGAATAAAAAGAAAATCAATATTTTTTTCGTTTAGGTTTTCTTCGTCAACAGTTATTCAGTCTTCCGTTACACCGAGTGTTCCAGACGAAGCAACACCTTTGTTGCTTTAGTTTTAAGGATTTTTTTTTTGAAATATATAGATTTATAACAATAAAAGATTAGTCTAAGATATTATTATTTTTTTTTTGAGTATTATTTATTTCACAAGTGTACTATTTCTTTTTATACACACTGAAAACAGCAAGTAACTAATCTACGTTTCATTTAACTTAATCACAGCAACAATAATTTATACGACATTCATTTGTTATATTAATATACTTTTTTTTTGTTATGAATATACCTAAACTATATGAGAATCAATTAGAAGCAGAATTGCGTCAGGTTAACTCAAACAATTGTTGAAAGTACATCCTATATAGAAAGAAAATGAAGAGACAACTATTGCGATTTAATTTTTTTCAGCACAGTTACGTTAATCGAAAAAACATAGATTTATTGCTATCGTTTTAATACTTTATTGCGCATTGTTTATTTACGAAATATATTATTTACAATTGGGATTTGTGCTCATTATCTTATGTATACTTATATTTTTTTTCTTGTTAAATTCAAATTTGCCTCAATCTAATGAGTTGGAGGCATCTAAACATCCACGCTAGCTGATGATTATTTCAAACTTTCTCTATGGTAGAGTTTTAAAAGTACTCTCTGAGCACGAGTTCGAACCTACTAGAGCTGCGGATGTTGAGTAGTCCTGGATAATCCCATCAACACTATTCATTATCCAAAGTACACTGTTGAATGTTATTTGTTTAATTATTACACTTTGTACACTATATAACACGAGGGGGATGGGGGGAGGCGCGGATGTACCCTGCATTCCGGGCGGGCCGCCATGAGATGGCGCTTAAGATGAGGATTCGTGGTCCTGGCTGGTGGTGGTAGCGGTGGCGGCGGAGACGGCCGTTGCAGCCGGGGGTGTTATTGCGCCATGCAGGGACGGGTTCTCCACTAACAGACTTGGAGGTGGGAACCCGAAAAGTTGAGATCACTGAATCCTCGGCCAGTAGTTCGAAGTGATGTTCGCCGAGAGTTCGGCAGGCTGACTAGGAATTTGAACTGGGACTGATACTCCTGCTGATATTACACCTGTAATCAGACAAAACAAACAAACCATAAACAACAATCTCTCACATTACACTCATGCATTCAGTATAATTTCTATAACATTCTGCATTATAGCTTTTACCTATTTTACTCATAGATTCAACAATATATAATAAAGTTATTTGATTATAATTATTTGCATTCAAATTTGATAATATTCAAGGACACTCTAAACACATAGCTAAGTGGGCTATAGTTGGAAAGATGAGATATTCAGCTTTCATACGACGTTAAGTATGTGTTTTTTTTCTCAATTTCTACAGCTCATAGCAGGCGACTCGAGGACAACAATAACATGTATGTCGACGCGTTGGAAAGGCAAGATATTCAGCTTTCATACGAGTGGTCGATTATGTAATTATCTTAAGGGGTTGTCGAGAAATTCACGAAAAACTGTAAAAACTAAAAAAAAGACGATCGCCTGCTATGTGCTGTAGAATGTTATATTTTCGTA